AAGTGGCACTGTAGCTCAAGTGGTAGAGCGCTCGCCTTGAGCTGAAGAGCTGAGGGACAGCACCCAGGCAGAGTTCAAGCCCCATGACCGACCCAAAAAAAAAGTTAAAAAAAAAAAAAAAAACTGAGAGCCTTTCACAAAGAGAAAGGAAGGCAGAGAGATGGAGATGCATAGGCCCTAGTGAGCAAAACATACCTGGGTTTCAGGTGATGGAGGATGGACCGTCCATCTACCACCGGCTGACCAAGGGGTAAGGTGGGGTGCACTCCAGGGCTGGAGGCCTCAGCACTTGGAGAGATGGTAGGCTTTTAGTATCACAGAGGTTTACAGCACCTTCTGTCTATAGAGGAAAGGAGAAATGGCTGATAAGTATTGAAACAAAAAGCATTTGAGTTCTCCAGGTTGGGTAACACCATTCATCAGCACATGCACCCAAGGCAACCAGGTCAGCGCCTGCAGGTGCATGATCTGATTCTGGGTGTGAGTTCACTGGGCACAGATGGCTAAGTGGAACAGAGGAACTGAGAGTATCTTGGGAACGATGTTCCTTGGGGAGGGAGAAGGGAGGAGGGCTGAGGACGTGGGGTTTCGTGGAGAAGGAACTCTTCTGGTGAGAACCGAGAGCCGCAAAGCTGGCCGCAGAGGAAACCAGGACCGAGGTGAGGTGTGAAAGCTGGAGCCGTTTTCTATCCAGAGAGAGGGTCTAGGCGTGGGATGTTGGTGTGTGGCAAAGGTACAGGGGCCACCTAGTACTCGGGTGGGCCATACCTTTACTAGGCCTTTTGAGGGGGGCGCATCTAACAAGGGCCTTTGGCTTCCTGTGAAGGGCATGCCTGGCTTCAGCACCTCCAAGAAGCTGGACAAGCTGGGAATGAGAGGCTCTAACACCTGTGAGCTTATCTTTGAAGACTGTAAAGTTCCTGGTAAGTGTTGGTAAGAACTGAGGAGCCCCTGCCCTGACCCCTGGCCCCTCCCCAACCTGGGACAGCTCATCTCCTGGGGTTCGCTGGTCCATGGACAACTGTCCCCCTGACCACAGTCCCTGCAGCTGTGTGCCTAAAGCTGAGAGGAAGAGAGAGGCAGGGCAACAGACTGCCTGGGGTTCCTGTCCTGGTAGTTGCAGGTCAAAGGTAAATCCCTAGCCCTTCACATTTCCCGGCTGAAGGGTGTGGTGAAACAATACCTCCTCATGGTGGCCAGGAAACAAGGTATTGTTCTCAGGAATACTCCAGGGGCCTGCTTTTCTTTGTCTTGGCCTTGACCCCCCCCCCCAAAAAAAAAAAAGGTCAGGCATCTTGCACAATAGTGCAATCTGATTATGATTGATTCATTGATGGGGTCACATTCCTTTTGCAAGCAATCACCTGCCAAATCCCCACTTCTGACAGCACTGCGGTGGAAACCAAGCTTTCAACACCCATACCTCTAGGGTATATTTCCCTGTCCAAACCACAACATCATGTGCTAAGCTTGTCAATGAGGCGTAAGAAGAAAACACAAATTGATGGAAGCCAGAAGGAGAAGCAAGTTGGTTTCAGGATTATTTTCTCCTGTGACCCATGGGTGAAAATGTGACACAATGTAGCATTGTAGGAGAGTCACACACCACCATAGACCAGTGAGACCCCAGGCCAGTGAAGACAGAACCAGTCAGGACTGCTGTGTGTCAGCCCTGCCTTACCGCTTCCATCCACAGTCCTGGTAAAGCACGCTGTGGTTAGACGAAGCATCTGGAAGGGAGAGTCTGCAGATCCTGGTTTGTTTTTTGTTGTTGTTGTTGTTTTTGATTTTGTTTTTTGGTACCAGTTCTAGAGCTTGAACTCTGGGCCTGGGACCTGTCCCTTAGCTTTTTTGCTCAAGACGAGTCTCATAGACTTTCTTGCCTGGGCTGGCTTTGAACCACAATCCTCCGATTTCAGCCTCTGACAGGCATGAACCACCAGTGGTGCCCAGCCAGAACTTTTACAGGAAGGAAAAGCTTCAAGTCTGTAGTGCCCTGCCTTTCTGGGTTATTAACCCGTCCATTCCTATGGCCACCCAGTGTCCTAGCTTACTGGGGCAGGTGCGCAGCACTAACTGAGCAGCAGCTTTCCTGGCCCATCCTGCTGGGGCGGCGGGCAGCTCAGGGGAGTGGAATTCTCTGGTTTCTGTGCAGGTTGCAGGTGTAGAAAGAACCAGCTTGGGGTGATTCCTTCTTTCCCCCTCCAGGGTGAATGGAGAGTATTTAACATCAGGGGGGGTTGAGTCTATGTTGTAGGGGAACCCAGGGCGCCCTAGAAACTCAACTTCTGGTTGGAATCCTAGTTCTAAGGCTAACTCCCACATCGTAGCACCTGGGGTGACTTTTTCTGCAAGTTGAACACACGGCGCCCCTCTTTCCCTAACGGTGTCTCCGCGCAGCTGCCAGCATCCTGGGCCAGGAGAGTAAAGGGGTGTACGTGCTGATGAGCGGGCTGGACCTGGAGCGCCTGGTGCTGTCGGGCGGGCCCCTAGGGTAAGGGTGGGGCTTGAGCCCCAAAGCCTGGGCGAGCCTGGGCGAGCGGCAGGGAGACCGCAGGTCAGTGGGAGGCTTGGGGGCCCTGAGCACTTCCAGTCAAAGGTCGCCCTCCCAGTCCTGGAGACAGCCCCGCGCCCATGGTGCCTCACTGTTACCACTGAGGGGAAGTGACAGCGGGTGGCAGCACAGCCACGCAGTGCAGTGTACATTGCCAGGCCAGGCCCCTCCCGCCCCCTCCCGCCCCCTCCTGCCCCTGCCTAACCTCCCCCCGCCTGTCCGCGCCTGCCCCCATCTGTCCACTCCTGTCCCCTCCCGTCCCCTCCCGCCCCCGCCTGTCCCCACCTGTCCTCCTGCCCCCTCCTCCTGCCTGTCCGCTCTCCTGCCCTTCCCCCCTCTGGGTTCGGGGAGAGGGGGCCCGTGCCAGGCAGAGGCGTGGGGGTGCAGCGTCCTCGCTGGGTGCTGTGCCTTAGCTCACCGCGCCTCCCCTGCAGGCCTGGCGCTGTGCCACGCCGCCAGGCAGGGGCGTGAAGGTACCGAGCTCTGCCCCGTCTCCTTCCTCCCCGCTCCCCGCAGGCTCATGCAGGCCGTCCTGGACCACACCATTCCCTACCTGCACGTGCGGGAAGCCTTCGGCCAGAAGATCGGCCACTTCCAGGTGAGTGGACTGCTGTGGCCTGCATCGGGTCCCTGAAAGACCCCGCACGCTGACCCAAGACCCCCCTTGCCCAGCTGATGCAGGGAAAGATGGCTGACATGTACACTCGCCTCATGGCCAGTCGGCAGTACGTCTACAATGTGGCCAAGGCCTGTGACGAGGGCCACTGCACTCCCAAGGTGAGGCCCGGCTGCCCCGGAGGGAGGGGCTGTGGCCAGCTGCTGCCCTGGCTGCCCGGGCCCGGCCCAGCGCGGCCCCACTGAGCCACTGAGCCACGCCTCCGCCCGCAGGACTGCGCCGCCGTGATTCTGTACGCAGCCGAGTGCGCCACACAGGTTGCCCTGGATGGCATTCAGTGTCTGGGTGAGTGGACTACACACTGTGGAGATTCGATATCAGCCAGGGCACAGACTCAAACCACGTGGGTTTGGGTTTGGATCCTAGTTCTGCCATACCAGTCTCTTCCCATCACCTGGCCCGTGCTCTGCACTTTGTTTACGTGATGTCCTAGCGCTCCGAGGGTCTCCCAGCCCCCCAGCCCCCGCCCACCCTAGCCCCAACCACACGCTCCGAGCCTCACCTTCTAGTACACTTGCTTCCTTTTAATTAGTACACAATTTACTCTCTGTCATCTGGGGGTTCCTTGTGTGTCTATTCAGAAAACTCAGGTCAAAAACAATCAGAAATGTTTAGGTGCGGCAAGTTCACAGCCTGAGCTGTGTAATGAGACTCTCAAAAAAAAGACCAAAACTAGAGTTGAAGACATAGCTTACCTGGTACAGGGCCAATCGATGAGGGAAGGTATCAGTGAGTGACCAAACCCAGGCTTGGTGCCAGTGAATCATGCCTGTAATCCTAGCTATCAAAGAGGCTGAGACTGGAAGGGTTGAACTTCCAAGCCAACTCAAACAAAAAAATTGCAAAAGAACTTTATGGTTGCGCACACCCGCCATCCCAGCCCCAGCAGGAAGTCAGAGGCAAAACTAAGATACTGTCTCTAAAATAACCAGAGCCAAAGGGCAGGAAGTGTGGCCTAAATGACAAGAGCACCTACTGACAAACACACAGCTCTGAGTTCAATTCTCAGTACCACCAAGAAGGAGAAGAAGGAAAATAATTAGCAAGGAGCCTGGCCCTGCTGGCAGTGTGCCTGGCACATGTGAAGCCCTGAATTCCAACCCTAGTAATGTAAGTCAGGCGCTGGTGGCTCACACCTGTAATCCCAGCTACTCAAAAGGCTGAGATCTGAGGATCGCGGTTCAAAGCCAGCCCAGGCAGGAAAATCCATGACACTTACTGCCAGTTGACCACCAGAAAACCAGAAGTGTGGGGGCTGTGGCTAGAAGTGGTAGAGCAATAGTCTTAAGCAAGAAAGAGCTCAGGGACAGTGCCTAGGCCCTGAATTCAAGCCCCAGGACCCACAGAAAAAAAATGTTTTTTTTTAATATTTTATAGTAAAGATACTGTACAGCTGGGCAACGGTGGCTTACACCTGTCATCCTAGCTACTCAGGAGGCTGAGATCTGAGGATCATGGTTCAAAGCCAGCCCAGGCAGGAAAGTCTGTGAGCCTCTTACCTCCAATAAACCACCGGAAAACCGGAAGTGGCGGCATTGTTACCCCCTCCTTTGTTTTTCTCCTACCATCCCTTCCCGCCCCACCTCCAACTCCTCCCTCCCCCCAAAGTTGTAAACTTTGTTGTTGTTTGTTGGTCTTGGAGCTTGAACTCTGGGCCTGAGCGCTGTCCCTCAGCTCTTCAGCTCAAGGCAAGCACTCTACTACTTGAGCTACAGCGCCACTTCCAGTTTTTCTGGTGGTTTATTGGAGATAAGAGTTTCATGAAAAAAATAAAAAAGAGTTTCATGAGGGCTGGGAAGGTGGCTCAGTGGTAGAGTGCTTGCCTTGCATGCCTGAGGCCCTGGGTTCGATTCCTTAGCACCACATAAGCAAAAAAAAAAGCCAGAAGTGGCGTTGTGGTTCAAGTGGTAGAGCACTAGCTTTGAGCTGAAGAGCTGAGGGACAGTGCCCAGGCCCAGAGTTCAGGCCCCACAACTGGACCCAAAAAAAAAAAAAGTTTCATGAACTTTCCTGCCTGGGCTGGCTTTAAACTGCAATCCCTAGATCTCAGCCTCCTGAGTAGCTAGGGTTGTAGGTGTGAGCCAGAAGCACCCGGCAAGTTGTACAGTTGTTTTCAACATAGTGTCTTGTACATCTCATTGTTACAATGGGTCAACCTGTATTTTTGTTTCAACATTTTATTTCCCTTTCCCTCCCCAAATTAGAAAAACAGATATACAAGATGCAGGACACAGGAATCAAATACAGTGACAACAGGGGTTATACCATGAGGGAAGAACATACAAAAGAAACCACAACAAAAAAATCACATAGTACATTAAAAACACAGTAACAAAGATAAAAACCTCTTGTGTCCCTGTCTTGGGATTCATTTTGCTTAGAGAATAAATAAATAAAAATGTGTAGCTGGGCATTGGTGACTCACACTTGTTAATCCTAGCTAAATACCAGGTTGGAGACATGGCTCAAATGGTAGAGTGCCAGGCTAGCAAGTTCAGGGCCCTGAGTCACACACACGCACGCACACACACACACACACGCACAGGCAGGACGGGAGGATGTGTGCAAATCCTGTATCATCTCACATAAGTGCTTGACTGTTCCCGAAGTCCTGGAAGCAGTTCCTCAAGACAGTGAGTAGTGACTGCTTGGCCATCTCGTCTCCTTCCCCGCCCGTGCCCATCACTCTGCTTTTTCTTCTCTGCCCAAATCCTGCTGGCAGGTGGCAATGGCTACATCAACGACTTTCCCATGGGCCGCTTTCTTCGCGATGCCAAGCTGTATGAGATTGGCGCTGGCACCAGTGAGGTGAGGCGGCTGGTGATCGGCAGAGCCTTCAACGCCGACTTCCACTAGAGCCACGCCTGCCGCCGGAGCGCCCGCACCTAGGGGCCGCCTCTGACGCGAGCGAGCGAGCGAGCGAGCGAGCGAGGCTGCCCAGCGGCCTGGCTACGGGCCTCACCCCCGGGCCAGGAAAGCTGCAAGTGGACTGTTGTGGAAGTGCATCGCTCTCCTGGGGGGGGGGAGCTCGGTGAACTCTGGCTCTTCAGCGGGGGGGGGGGGGCCCTGGTGCCCCCTGGGGTGGGGAGGTGGCCTGTGGGGGTGCAGGTGCCGCTTCTGTTTTGAGTAACTCGTAAAGGGAGCTTCTGCTCCAGTTCAGCAGCCGCGCCGCCTCTTCTGGGGAAAGCAGCCAAAAATCTCCCCGTTGCTTCTTGGGCGTGGCACCCGGAGCTGACCGTGCGGTGGTCAGCGGCGGGGCCCAGGGCCCTCCTGGGAGGCAGCCCCGAGTCCCCCCTGCGCCACGAGCACCAGCCTTTCCCGATTGTGTGGCCTTCTGCCGCCGACCGCACGCAGGCCCCGGCCGGCCCCAGCTGCCTGGCTGCCTGGCCCCCGGCCAGCCCTGGCGGCTGTGTACATTTCTTCAGACGCCCTACGGCTGATGTTGTTACCGCTGCACAGTGGCTGCTGCCATTTTGTATTAAACATGTTGTAAAGCAAACCCATCTGCTCCCAAAGCACTGCCGCGAGGAAGCCATCTCCTCACTGCCTCCCTCCCGTGTGCTCCAGCACCTGTGCTTGCCCGAGGCCTGGCCCAGGTGGGGGTGGGGTGGGGACAGCACAGCGGGAGAGCTGGCCCCGACCACAGGGAGGTCAGCCATCTCCCAGTGGTTGCGTTTGCTTGGGTGGTGCTGGGGATGGAGCCAAAGCCACAGGCCTGCGCAGCAATGCCCAGCCTCCTGGCCACCCCCTGCGAGTTTTAAAGGAAAGCGGGTGGGGTGGGGCCCAGACTGGTAGCTTTAATCCTGGGGCTTGAGGTGGTGGTTTGCTTTGGTTTTGAGATCTGCCTCTGCCTCCTTCATCCCCGGAATTACAAGTGGGCATCAACACCCCTAAATACAACCCTACAAGCGGGCACCAGCACCCCTAAACACATCCCTGAGGTTTTTTTGTCTTTTAAGTCAAAAGCTGGACTGGGAAGGTGGCTCAGTGGCAGAGTGCTTGCCCTGGGTTCGATTCCTCAGCACCACATTAGCCGAAAAAGCCAGAAGTGGCGCTGTGGCTCAAGCGGTAGAGCACTCGCCTTGAGCTGAAGAGCTGAGGGACAGCGCTCAGGCTCAGAGTTCAGGCCCCATGACCAACAATTTAAAAAAAAGTCAAACGCTCAACTTTGAGGACCTGCCTAGCAAGCACAAAGGCCTTGAGTTTAAAACCATGGTACCACAAAAAAAAAAACAAAAACAGAAGCTTATTTGCCTTTTTTCAAGATCAGAGGTGAGGATCCAGATACACTAGCCACTAAAAGCAATAGGGGCCCCGCGCACAGCATCCCAGGCTGGCACAGGTAGGGAGAATCGGCTCTGGGTTTTTCCACCCTCTGTCAAGTTTCCCAGGGGTAAACTGGTTTTCCTGGCACTCAACCCATCGGCAGCAGTGCCAGTTCTGAGCCTCCCGTCCTGGCCCGTGGCCAAGTGCTGCTCCCAGCCAGCGGCTTGAGACAGATAGTGTTAGCTCCTTGTGTACCCCTGTCGGGTCCAGCCAGAGGGGAAGGTCCAGGACTCCCGGCTGCCCTTCACGTCCACCCCCGTGACAGCACGTGGCGAGCAGCCAGCTGAAAGCACCCCTGGCCGAGACGGTTTGCGGAGAGACGGGTCTGCAGGTGATGGCGCAGCAGCTGAACACAGTGCATCACCTGTGGGTGGCATCTGGACGCCAGAGCTCCGTGATGGCAGATAGCGGCTTCTAAGAGAAGACTCAAGCTAGCCCTGGGCGGCTGCAGGGCCCCTGGACCTCCAGCCTCCAGATCCCTGCCAGATGACTTAGAGCAGCACAAAGCAACCAGGACAGGCAGAAGGACAAGCGGAATGCGGCTGTGGCCCCGAGGTACAACGAGGGAAACCCAAGCCCACCCTGCAGCCTGACACCAAGGGGAAGGGGAGAGTCCTGGGGCTCTGAGCTTCCAGGTGGGCCTCCGGCCGCCTCGCCCGCTGGTGGGGCCCGCAGGGCTGTGCCCAGGCCGTCCAGCCCCACCCCACCCGGGGAGGTGCTGTGCGGCGACCGCCCTGGCTCCCGGGGCCAGCCCTGGGGCTGCATGGAGCTCGCCTGACCCCTGGTGGCCAGACGCGGGATCGCAGGCGCTGTGCCCGCCGCCCCAGGACTCAGCTTCCAGACTGGAAAGGCACCCGGCGCAGACATCCGTGGCTCTTCATCTCACCCAAAGGGGACTTGTCCTCCATCACCATCGATTCAAACGAGAAAAGGCATCCCTAACGACAACTAGGAAGGAACAAACAGAGCCCAGGCCAGTGTTGCAGATTCTCTCTGTTCATGGTTTTAGGCACTTTACAACTGAAAAAGATTTAGTTAAAAACAAAAAAACCAGCAGGGGCCAGGGGTTCACGCCTGGCATCCTAGCTACTCAGGAGGCTGAGATATGAAGATTATGGTTCAAAGCCAGCCCCGGCTGGCTTTGACTCCATAAGAGTCTCCAATTAACCACCAGAAAACCATAAGTGGTGCTGTGGCTCAAGTGGTAGAGCGCTGGCCTTGAGCTGAAGAGCTGAGGGACAGCGCCCAGGCCCAGAGTTCAAGCCCCACGACCAACAAAAGTAAATAAAGTAAAAAAATAACAACCTGTCTCCTTCCCTTTTCCCCTATTCCCCACTCCCAGGACAAAGCCACTTTGGAGTCTATAAGGAATGCGTTTTGGTAGTTCATGCCTCTCAGTGATGTGCTTATTGATTGAGTTAATTGAAGGTAGTTCTGAGGAAAGTTCTTTAGAGTGCCTACATGTAATTTATGGCAATTTCACATGTGTTTCCACTTCCTCAGAGCAGCTCTGCCCACACCCATGGCCGGTCCCTGCTTTCTGCCCGCATTCAGCTGCTTAATACCCAGAACACAGACAGCCCACCTCTTTAGCGCCGTGGGTCCCCCTCCACCTGTGCCACTCACATGCTGAGGCCAGTCCCAGCTCATAAACATTTCTGGGCTCCACGGCTACCTTCCAGTCCAGGCCCCTCAGCCCCTTTAAGGTATTGAGCCAGCAAGAACTATCAAGCCCCCTCCTAAATCCTTCAATGGATCTTAACACCTTTAAGATCTAAGGTTTTATCTGGGCAGTGGCACACACCTGTACGCCCTGCTACTCAGGATGCTGAGACAGGTGGATCACTTGAACCCAGGAGTTTGAAGCTAGCCTGGACGACTCAATGAGACCCACTGTCTGTCTATCTGTCTCAAAAAGGGCTGGAGCTGGGCTCCAGTGACTCATGCCTGTAATCCTAGATACTCAGAAGGCTGAGATCTGAGGATTGAGGTTGGAAGCCAGCCTGGGCAGGAAAGTCCGTGACACTCTTATCTCCAATAAGCCACTAAAAAAGAAAATCCAAAAGTGGAGCAGTGGCTCAAATGGTAGAGCACTACCCTTGAGCAAAAAGCAGCTCAGGAGCCGGGTGCCTGTGGCTCACACCTGTAACCCTAGCTACTCCGGAGGCTGAGATCTGAGGATCATGGTTCAAAGCTAGCCTGTGAGACTCATATCTCCAATTCACCACCAGAAAACCGGAAGTGGCGCTGTGGCTCAAGTGGTCAAGCATTCACCTTGAGCTGAAGAGCTCAGGGACAGCTCCCAGGCCCGGAGTTCAAACCCTAGGACCAGCAAAAAAAAAAAAAAAACATGGAGGTGTGTCTCAGCTGTAAAGCACTTGCCTAGCTAGTATGACGCCCTAAATTCAAACTCTAGTATCTCACACACACACACACACACACACACACACACACACACACACACACACACACACACACACACACACACACACACACCCTGATGATTTGCCAGGCAAATCCAATTCTGATCCACCTTGACCTTCCCTGCTCTGTCTCCCCCTTCTCCCTGCTGAGTGCTTGTGTTCCTGCCAAGGTCTATGTCTTATGCTGGGCTACACCCTCTGTTCAGGAACCCCAAGAGCCCTGCACTGTGTTGTAGCTTCTCTGTCCACAAAGCCCGGCTCCAGGGCTCTTTCCCCAGGGCCTCTCCCAGCATTTCCCCGTTCTCCTCTCCCCACCTGACTCCTGGTGCCTTCTTCCTCCCTTGTTCGGCCCATTTGCATCGATGGGCCTTGCCACTCAGTTGTATTTGTTTCCTGCGGGTCTGTTTGCCCTGTGTTAGGCTGTGAGTTCAAGGGCTAGTGTTCTTTCAGTCTCTGACACTAAGCCATGCTGGATCCTTGCTACTGTTTACTGGAAGAGTAGACAGGTGGCCATCTAATCCTAGGCTCGTGTGTTGCTGGTAGCTCAGTTATTTGTGTTCAGGGCCCTGGTATACTGTCAGACCTTTGAGGTCAAAGACCATCATCGCCTGCTGAACCTGGTGCATACCTGTCATCTCAGCGTTGTGAGAAGTAGAGGATCTCGAGTTGAGTTTGAGGCTAGCCTGGTCTACCTGGTGACCTGGGGAGAGCCTGTGTCAACACGCACACACGCACACGCACATCCACCATTCCCAGTTCCTTGAATCCTGCACAGTACCCAGTGCTTGCAGAAAGTGCTTGGTGGATGTGTTCATGCTGAATGAGGGAAAGAACAGGTGGTCCAGAGCCCAGGCCTAATCCCAGAATTGGCACAAACATCAGATCCAGCCGGCTTCGCTTGGCCCTGCTCTCTCCAGCCCTTCCCACCCTGGAGTAGCCAGGGCCTCGCTGCCCAGGAGAGGCCCTCACCCCACATCGTCCTCTGAGCCACTCAGGAACTGAAGTTGTAAGGGACCTCCTCCTCCTGCCCCCCCTCCACACACACAGACACTTGGGAATAGAAATGGAGGCTGGATGGAAAAGTCGGGGAGGGGTGAAATGCACAGCGTGTATGGAGGAGTACGGAACCTGCAGATACGCAGTGTGAAAAAATAACGAGAGCTGAGTGTGGCGATGCCGGCCTGTAATTCCAGCACTTGTGAAGCGAAGACAGGAAGATTGGGAGTTCAAGGCCAGCCAAAGTAACATAGTGAAACAAGTTTCAGAAACAAAATGATAGTAATAAAACTCCTGTGTACCCAAG